CTCAGCAGTGAGTCTGCTTGAGATTCTCTCTCTACCTCTCCCTGTGTCCCTTCCTCCCCCAAATAAATAAATAATCTTAAAAAAAAATGTGTGTGTGTTCTGAAAGATCACCCGGATATGTTCCTCCCACTGGTTTTGAAAGGAGTTTGAATAAGTTGGATTAACCATCATGCATCCCTTTCTAAGCCGTATCATATTTATGTCTTATCTCAGACTGTGAGCACCTCAAGGGATTATTCTTTGACTCTCTCTGCGGGATTGACCACAGTGCTATGACCAGGACTATGATACAGTCCTGTGACAAATACTGCTGAATGAATGAAAAAATGTTGTCTGAGGATGTTGCCTTGGATATTTCTCTTTGGAGAGTTTCTTATTTTCATAGCATGTGTTTGTCTTCCAGCTGTACCTTCTATTGTAGTTGTTCTCCGTGCACAGACATCCAGGTAGATGAGGATGGTGTAGTCCCACTGCTGTTGCTCCTCTCAATGTTTGCTGTCTCACTAAGGCCTAATTAAACTGTTATGCCCCCACATTCCTCTGAGGACTATGCCAAGGGCGATTTTTTTCCAGGCATCTAATCTCTTAAATTGCCTAAGCATCAAAATTCTCCCCCTGGCTATTATTGGTTAACACCTTGAAATAACTGAAAATTTTGCCAATGAGGAAATGTGCTTGCAACAGAAAAACCTTGCCTTTGGATGTGTGGCCAAAGAGCTCTTAATACTGAAGAAACAATCTTTTCTGCCTCATGCACCAGTGAAAATCTAATAAAAATGTGTCTCTCCTGGGTACTTTACATCATTAGCATCTTGGCTTCACACTTTGCTTTAACAAATAACTTATTTTAAAAGTTTCTCCAGGGAGAAGACAAGAAGCCAAAAATATCTTGGAAGAAAACTTTACCTAGCAACCCGATGAGGCTGTTTCATACAGTTTCTAAAGTTTAACTTCATGCAGGAAAATCTTTGTGATTTTTTAGTCTCTCATTTTGGTGTGTACTGAAACATCTTCATGGCTAAGCAGGGAGGAAAAAAACCCCTAATGCCTTAATGTGAGTAGCACTTTCTGGTTTTATAGTAAATTCGTTATAAAATGCTACCACCACAGTTGATCGCCTACTACATGTCACGACATTGTGCTAAACATTTTACATAAGTTTGTAGAACTTAATCTTTGCCACAATCCTTTGCAATAAGAGTCCTATTTTACTAACGAAGCCAGTGGAGTTTAGAAGAGTTGCCTCCAGTCATATTGTAGTTAGTAAAAGGCTGAACCTGGATTTGTCTGACCTTAAATCCTACAGACTTATTTCACTTGGTGGGACTCTAAAAAAGTGAACAAGTAATTCTTTCACATGAACAAATCTCCCAATGTCTATATCTGTATCCAGGAATCTTTTTATTCCCTTCTTTCCCTTCTCAGAAAAAGCCAACCTAACCAACCACCTAGCCTTCCTTCCCTCATGGTATACCTGCTCTGAATTCCACCTTTCTGCACAACTCCACAGAGTGCTACTTGAAAGGTGATCTGGGTGGGGGGCACCTCTTGAAGCGAAACTTCTAAATGCAATGTGAATGGCGCCCCCTGGAGTTGTGTAACCAGCAGCTCTGGATTTCCTCCTCTCTCCTTATCTGGAACTTCAACTCTCCCACTTCCCTTCATCATCAGTCTCTCTCTCATAGATTATTATCCATACACAAACATATCTGCTCTTCTCTGCCTTAAAGACAAACAAAGGACAACCCCAAGAAGCATCAACAATCAATCACGCTTGATCCTATATTCCTGTCTCATGTGCTTTTCAGCAGCTGTCAATATTTACCATCTTGAAACATTTCCTCTCCCGGGTTTTGTGCCATCACTCTTTCCTTACTTTCCCATTTCTCAAGCCATTCCTTTCTTCCTTCTTTCACTGGATTCTTTTCCTTACCCATTCTCTAAATATAAAATGTTTTCAGGGGCAGCCTCCGGGTGGCTCAGGGGTTTAGCGCCGCCTTCAGCCCAGGGCGTGATCCTGGAGACCTGGGATCGAGTCCCACGTTGGTCTCCCTGCATGGAGCCTGCTTCTCCTTCTGCCTGTGTCTCTGCCTTTCTCTCTCTCTCTGTGTATTCTCATGAATAAATAAATAAAATCTTAAAAAAAAAAAAACCCTTCAGTGCTCATTACATCATGTGCCCTCCTTAATGTCCATCACCCGGTTACCCCATTCGCCCAGGGCTCTCCCCCCCCCTTTTTTTTCTTTTCTGTATTATTTTCTTAAATAGCTCTTTTTTTTTTTTTTTTATTGCTCTCTTGCTGAAAACGTTTCAGTGACTTTCATTGTGTTTTAAATAAAGTCCAACTCCAGGGGTGCCTGGGTGGCTCAGTTGATTCAGCATCTGCCTTTGGCTCAGGTCATGAGTCCATGGTCCTGGGATGGAGCCCCACATTGGGCTCCCGGCTTGGTAGAGAGCCTGCTTTTCTCTTTCCTGCCTGCAGCTCCCCCTGCTTGTGCGACCCCTCTCTGCCAAATAAATAAATAAATAAATAAATATTAAAAAAAAAAAAGTCCATCTCTGGCCTAGAAGGCTTTATATGGTGTAGCCCATTTCTACCTCTCCAACTTCAACACAAACACTGCTCTAGGTGCCCTCTTTCTTTTGGTTTATTGGATGGATCAGACTTTCCCCACCTTTGATCCTCTAGACATGCTTAGAAGCCTTTCCCACTTGCAGTCTTATTCTTTTTTTTTTAAGATTTTATTTATTTATTCATGATAGACATAGATAGAGAGAGAGGGGGGCAGAGACACAGGCAGAGGGAGAAGCAGGCTCCATGCAGGGAGCCTGACGTGAGACTCGATCCCAGGGCTCCAGGATCACGCCCTTGGCCAAAGGCAGGCACTAAACCGCTGAGCCACCCAGGGACTCCCCTTGCAGTCTTATTCTTATAAGAATCTTATATATGCCACAACATTGTGCTAACCATTTTACATAGGTTTGTAGAACTTAATCTTTGCCACAATCCTTTGCAATGAGTCCTATGTTACTAATCTTATTCTTATTCTTCATCTTATTCTTCAGCTCACCTTCAAGATTCTTCTTGTCAAGATGACCATTGACTTCCACATTGCTAACACTAATGCTGATACATGTAGCACCTCTTCATTCTGTTGTGCAGCGAATTTCCCATTTTCCTTCCAGACCTTGAACTCCTTGAAGTCAGGGACCATATCTACAATACAATTTAATATCCTAGCACAGTGGTTGGCTCCTAGTTAGCTGTTTAATAGATGCTTGTAAATGAATGGAGGATGCAAGTTCAGATCTCGGGAAAGACTGCTGCAGTAGTTAACTCACAACCCTCCACTGATACGGTAGATAGAAATTAGAAGGAACATCAGAAGACAGGGGTTCAAAGTTTGGCACTAGCAATAACTGTTATCAAAATTCTCACCTTAGTTTTTTCATATGCTCTACCTATATAACCAAAAATTTTAAAAGATTTTATTTATTTATTCATGAGAGACACATAGAGAGAGGCAGAGACATAGGCAGAGGAAAAAGCAGGCTTCCTGCAAGGAGCCTGATACGGGACTTGATCCCAAGACCTGGTATTGCGACCTGAGCTAAAGGCAGACACTAGACCATTGAGCCACCCAAGTGCCCCCACCAAATTTTTTATATCTTTAAACTTTTAAAATTAAAACTTAAAAAAATATTTATTTATTTATTTATTTACTTGAGAGAGAGAGAAAAAGAACTCAAGCAGGGTTGGAGTGGAATGGAGGAGCAGTGGGGGGAAGGAAAGGCAGGGGGAAAGAATCTCTAGCAGACTTCTTGCTGAGTGGAGAACCCCTAGCAGGATTCAATCTTACGACCCTGAGATCATGACCTGAACCAAAAACAAGAGTTGGACACTTTAACTCATTGAGCCATAAGATTATCATTATTATTTTTTTAATCACTGAAGCTGAATTTCTTAGTCCTCTACCAACAAATTCCTTCTTGTGGATTGCAAAACTCATGAAATTACATGAAAGTTAACCTTTTTCCCCTTTTAATTATGAAAAATTTCAGACCTAACAGAAATAGAATAGTATAAACACCCATGTACGCATCACTAGCTTAAGCTACTATCCGCATATAGCTGATTTGGCTTTATTTCTCTCCTTACTCACTTCTTCCTCCCATTAGTTTCATACAAATCCTGGACATGGTATCATTTCATGATGTATACTTCAGTATCTATGAAATATAATTGTTAACTGCTAGCCGCTACTCCTTCTGTTCTTCAGTGGCTTAAAAAGTGAAGTATTCAAAAAAAAAAGTGAAGTATTCAAAAAAAAAGTGAAGTATTCATTGAATGGTATGTTGCTCTTCCCAGATATCAGATAACTAACACAATGATTTTATTTATTTTTTATTTTTATTTTTTTAAAAGACTTTTATTTATTCATGAGAGACACAGAGAGGCAGAGACAGAGGCAGAGGGAGAAGCAGGCTTCCTGCAGGGAGCCCGATGCAGAACTCGATCCCCGGATCCCGGGATCATGACCTGAGCCAAAGGCAGATGCCCAACCACTGAGCCAGTCAGGCGTCCTCATAATGATTTTATTTTATGACTTAACCAAACTGTAACTTCTTTGAGGGGGGTGGAGGAGGGTGGATATCACAGCATCTAGCTTTGTGCCTTGCAGTCAATAAATAGAGGTTGAAGGAAAACAAATTCAACATGGTTTAGGTTTTTTAATACTTTATTCACAGGAATCTAGGGCCTGCCTTGTCTTACCTCCTTGCTTCTGTTCTCTCTCTGTATTCATTACTCTACAGGAAGATTTCCAATTCAAAGGTTTTCTTTTTTGCCTGTTTTAAATCAAAAGATTTCAGCCTTTGAGGACTCCGGGCAGGACTCAGTCCCAGGGGGCGGGGCCTCCGGGGCGGGTCTGCGCCGAGGCCCCGCCCCCTCCCCTCCCCGCCCCGCCCCCTCCCGCTCTCGTCCTTCCCGGCAGCCCTAGCGCACTTCCCAGCGCTCCTCAAGATGGCGGCCGACAGTGAGGTGAGGTGTTTGCTCCCTGCCTCTCCCGGTCTGTAAGCTTGCTCCTCCACGTCAGCGCCCGGGGGCTTATTCTCTTTATCTTTCTTTTCCTTTACCGTAGCCCGAGTCCGAGGTATTTGAGATCACGGACTTCACCACTGCCTCGGAATGGGAAAGGTGAGTGAGTCCTGTCAGTGGTTGTCGGTACCGCGGGCCGCGGCGTCCCCTGGCCGCTTCCCCGAGGGAGACCACGTGTGACGCCGCTAATGCGGGAGAAGTAAGGCCGGCGAACCGCGGGCTCTGCGGCTTCTGTCCTCGGTCAGCCGCACGCCTCTTCCGCGTCTCGCGTCTGCCAGGCGGCGGCCCGCCCCCGTCAGCCCAACCCCTGAGACTCGGCTCTCAGAAAAAGTTCTGTTTCACTCTCAGACCACTTTCCTCAGACCTCCGTCGTCGCCCACCCGCGGAAACAGTTCCCCGAGCTACCACTTCCGTGGCTGGTGTCGTTTCCGTTTAACTCCTGTTGTTACCCTAAGCCGTAAACTTGGCAGCTGCCGTTTTCCTCTCGTGGGCATAGGTGTACCCTTTCCTGGAGGAGGCCTTCGTGGTGCTGGCGGTTGTCCATGTGCCGCCCTCCCACCGTCTCCATCCTGCCCTTTAGAATGACCTTTTAAGATAATGCTGCAGATGGTTTTGGGGACTCTCTGATTCAAGTCGTTGCATTTCCGTGGGTAATGTGCCCAGGCTTCCTGTGCCCATCGCACCTCACTGAACAGCTGAGCGAAATGAGCTGAAAGCCAACTTTGTGAAAGAGTAATAGCTGAGAATGAGAAATTTTCAGGTTGGTGTCACAGAGACCCTTCTGGGTGTGGAGGTCAGTCAGTATTTAGTTCGTTGCAACATTTGATAATCTTTCAGGTTGGGAGAGGAGATTTGCGCATGTCATGTCATTCAATGACTGAGGAAAATATTAAAGATTCCTGCCGGAGGGGCGCCTGGGGAGCTCATTTGGTTAAGTGGCCAACTCTTGATCTAGCTCAGGTCTTGATGTTGAGGCCAGGAGTCCCCAAGCCCTGTGTTGGGCTCCATGCTGGGTAAGGAGCCTACTTAAAAAATCAATCAATCAATCAATCCCTGGTGGAATAATAGTTTGATTGTGGTACGCTCCAAAAAATAAGTGGGTAAGACGTAGCCATACTGGCAAGGGCTTTATTGAACAGGTGTTCTGTGTCTAGAGTTAAACTAATGGAAAAGAACAAAGACCAAAACAAAACCTTTGATCTATGTGTTACACAAAACAGAGAATGATTAAATTGTAAGCCAGCTGGTGTGAACTGTAAAAAGTTTAGAGAAGGATGATACTGTGGATCACAATTAGGGGAGATAATTTCATAGAAAAGATAGGAAATGAGCTGGATATTGAAAGTGGAAAGTGGTTGGTTAGATTTGAGAAGGTATTAATATAAGCAGAGATGAGTATAAATGAACCTTTGGGACTTCATGAAGATGTCTTTACTGGAGTAAAGACTATCTATTGAAGGGAAATAAATAAGATTAATGAGATGAGACAGTCCATGGACAGTCTCCAAAGCTGAGTAAAGAAATCTCTAGACTCGGTGCTTTTAAAATCAGGGATTCCCAACCTTTAGTGTGCATCAGAATCATAGTTTCTGATCATATCTGAGGTGGACCTAAGAATGTGCATTTCTAGCAAGTTCCCAGGTGATGCTGATGTTGCTGGTCAGGAGACCACACTTGGAGAGAACCATTAAAGAACAATGGTGAGACACCCTTGATTTTAGAGTGGCAAAGTGATAGGATGAGAGTTGTTTCAGGAGATTAAGTCAAATGAAGCCCGGTGACTTACTTTGATCAATAGTTAGATCGGTGGTTTGGAGACTGGAGAGGGAGGGAGGGTAGAAAGGAGTATTGTTAGATATTTCGAAAAAGATTTTTAGATAGATACACTTGATGAAATGTTAGAGTAGAAAGAAACATGCAACTGGAGTTTCTTGCCTAAAAGAATGAAGATAAGAAAGTGGGAAGAGTACAGTTTTAGACCAGTTGAATTTGAAATAATAACTTGATGTCTTGAAGGTAGTTAGAAAAATGTCACCTGAATCTTGGAGGGTGGGGGTGAGGAAGCATCAAGAGTATGGAATGGAAACATGATTATTTTCCCTTAGCAAATATTTAAGGTATCCTGAAGTGCAATATTAACTCCTTTAGCTCCTTGTATGGAGATCATTGTTAACACAGTAATGAGTACTACCACAAAGTAGGAAATTTGGGTTTTGGTTTTTATGCTCATTTTTAGAGCTACAGTAGTGTTTTATAGCACATGGGAAAATGTTAAAGACTTTGGAGTCTTCTTAAACCTTGGGTTTAATGTGTGAATGAAGGTTCTTGTTAATATGTTAGGAGCCATAAAGACAGTTTATTGAGAGGACTGAATGGACTCCTCCCCCAAAAAAGGAGTCCCCCAACTCTTTAATCTTTTGTCCTTTGCTGAAATATTTTTTGAGTGCCTATGTGTCAAATACAGTGCAGGGCGTAGGGGTGTGGTCCATAAAAATAGTTCCTGCTCTTACCGGTAAAGTCTAGTAGAAGAGACAGACATGAATCTAATACAGATGAGTCTGTAATTACAATTGAAATAAGAGCTGAGAAGGGAAAGAAATCTGGTCTTACAATGCCTATAACAAAGGAACCTAATATCGAATGCAGAATCAGAGGAAACAACCCTTCAACTGTTTTTTTGAAAGCTTTCAGCAATAAAGTTTTTACATTTTTCTGGTCAAATCTCAACACTTTCAGTAGACTGCAATTTTTCTCTTTTAGGTAGTATTGATAGAATTCATTAAATAAGTGTTTTAATGTGCTCCTTCTGTGAAAGCAATATTATTTTCAATGATTTTTATTATAATGCCTCACAGAATAAAAAAATTCTAAGACTTAATATTTTGAGAAAATTTCTTCTAATCTGAATGTGTTGTGAACATTTTGTATCAAAACATATTAATACTTCTGTAGCTTCCATGTTTTCATTTAGTATATGAAATAAGCATTTTCTTATTTCCTCAAATTGTCTTCAAACATGATTTTTTATGGATGCATACTAATCCATTCAGTGGACATACCAGCTGTTTGCTGCAACTGGATAGTTAGGTGGCTTCCAGTTTTTTGCCTTTATAAATACAACGTACATTTCTAATAAAGATTCATTTATTTCTTTTAGAGAGAGTGGGGTAGGGGCAGAGGGAGACAGAGTCTTAGACTCCCTGCTGCCCAATACAGGGCATGATCTCGGGATGTTGGTATCACAGCCTGAGGTGAAACCAAGAGTTGGCAGTTTAACCAACTGTGGCAACTCGGCATCCCTCACAGGCACATTTGTACTCACAAGTGGATACATCTAAAATTTTTATTTCCTTTTATTTTTGTAAACATGCTAACTTTTCTACTTATTTTCAGAACCAATAATTGCCTTTTGATGAAACTACCCGGAAGTGGATTAGTATATATATTAATACTGCCTTTAGTCTTAAAGAGGAATTAATTAGAAGGTTCATTTAAATCATAAAAATCAGATTTATCATTACTGTCATTACTGTCTTAAATGTAAATATTAACTTATATTGTCACTGAAGGAAAAAACCTGATGCTTGTGAATATATTTTGACTGGAATTAACTATTACTCTAGCAATATGATGTAGGTGTTTTAGGAGAGCAATTTTGCTGTTAGATTGCATCATACTTCTATAAGAAGTTAGCTTCTTAGTGTAATAAAGTCTTCTGAAAGAGTCTTTTAACGCTACTACTGAGATTTGACAGTTTTAATTTGCTGATATTGACCATGTCACTAGTCAAAATTCATTCTTTTTTAAAGATTTTTATTCATTTGAGAGAGCGAGTGAGTGAGCACTAGTAAGTATGAGTGGGGTGATAGGCAAAGGGAGAGGAAGAAGCAGACTCACCACTCAGCTGGGAGCCCAGTGCAAGTCTCCAGGACTTGGAGATCATGACTTGAGCCAAAGGCAGGTGCTTTACCATCTGAGCCACCCAGGTGCTCTTTCATTCTCTTTAATAGGTCCACTTCATCAGTATATTTTTAAAATATTTTATTTATTTGAGAGAGGGAGAGAGAGAGAGAAGCGCATGAGCAGTGGGGAGAGGAAGAAGCAAGCTCCTCACGGAGTAGGCAGCCTGACGATGTGGGGCTTCATCCTAGGACTTTGGATCATGACCCAAGCCGAAGGCAGATGCTCAAGAGACTGAGCCACCCAGGCGCCCCTCATTTAGTAGATTTATTTTTATTTATTTATTTATTTTTTATTTATTTACGATAGTCACAGAGAGAGAGAGGGAGAGAGAGAGAGAGGCAGAGACACAGGCAGAGGGAGAAGCAGGCTCCATGCCGGGAGCCCGACGTGGGATTCGATCCCGGGTCTCCAGGATCGCGCCCTGGGCCAAAGGCAGGCGCTAAACCGCTGCGCCACCCAGGGATCCCCATTTAGTAGATTTAAAGATTAGATAGCGATTAGTTTTAAAAGCTGTCAGTTATTAAAGCTGACAAATCTACTTGAAGTTTCTTGCCAGCTGTCTCTTAAAACATGGTTTATTTAATTAATTTTTTAAAAAAGATTATTCATTTATTTGGCAGAGCACAAGCAGGGAGAGGGAGAAGCAGGCCCCCTGCCAAGCAAGGAGCCGGACCCATGGGGGTGGGGGAGGCATGTGCTCCATCCCAGGACTCCAGGATCATGTCCTGAGCCACAGGCAGATGCTTAAAAGACTGAGCCACCCAGGCACCCAACATGGTTTATTTTAGTGAGCAAAGTTCAAAATTCCTGGATGTTTTCTTTTGGGGGAAGAGGGAGATCAATCAGTTCTTAAATATCTTCAAAGGAAAAGTTAATTTATATAGATTAATTATTTTGAGGGTAGGGAAAAATTATTGGTTTCATAGTTATCTTTAATAGTATCCTTTTAGTCTCTCAGGTTTGATTTCTGTTCCAAATTTGTATTCATTTTAAGGTAGAGAGATTTATGCTTAATTTATATTTTATAGAAGCAGAATGCCTATGTTGGGTAAGCTGTAGACTTTTAAAAAGTCAAAATTTGGGGTGCCTGGGTGGCTCAGTTGGTAGAGCTTGGGACTCTTGATTTGGGATTGTGAGTTTGAGTCCCACATTGAGGGTGGGGTTAACTTTAAAAAATATTAAAATGTAAGAATTCTTGGATTAGAGAAGATTATTTCCACATTTATTCCACATCCATAAATTAGACTAATAATACATTTCAGTTTTTTTTTTTTTAAGATTTTATTTATTTATTCATGAGAGACATAGAGAGAGAGGCAGAGACATAGAGGGAGAAGCAGCCTCCATGCAGGAAGCCCGATTGATGTAAGACTCATTCCCCGGACTGTGGGATCACACCCTGAGTCAAAGGCAGATGCTCAACTGCTGAGGCACCCAGGCATCCCTAGGCTAATAATACAAAACTTACTGAGCCTTTTCTGATAAAAATGTTAAAATATAAAACCTACTTGTTTAAAGAAATTGTGTGATAATGATTAAAAAAAAAAGGTTATTATATGTTCAGAAAGTTGTTTTGTTTTGTTTTGTTTTTTTTTTTTTTTACTCCTCCCTAGGTTTATTTCCAAAGTTGAAGAAGTTTTAAATGATTGGAAACTGATTGGAAACTCTTTGGGAAAGCCACTTGAAAAGGTCAGATCTATTTGCTGGTGTCTCTAAATAAGTATTTACTTTGAAACTTCTATTTTTAAGCCCTTTGCTGTGTTTGGTACATTGAATTAAATTTTTTTTTTAAAGTTCTGTATGATTTATGAACATAAAGTGGCACCTGGAAGAACTTGGATTTGAATCTGGCAAAAAACATATGTAAGACATTTGTGAACTATTTTTAAATAAAATTTTATATGTATAATGTCATTCTTTGTGAGTGATTTTCTGTTTCTTCTCATGTTTACTTCTTTCTTTCTCCCTTAGAATGTTAGAAAATCTTTTTAAAAGTTTTTTGTTTGGTCAGAGAAACATTGCAATTACCAACTTCATGGGTAGAGTATATTGCCTGATGAGGAAAAATCTTGGTCTTAACTGAGTTGGTGTTATTAGCAGGTTTTTCATTCAAGTTTTGTACTTTACAATACCACTAATAGTATTTGTCTCTCCCCCCCCCTTTTTTTTAACCTTATGGATGTTTTGAGGATATTTAAGAATGAAGAAAACATTCAAAATTGAAGTAGAGTTTTAATTCTAATCTAAGATATTGCTGGATATTAAGATACTTAATTCTAATCTAAGATAAACCATACCCCAAATAATTACTAAAGAATATACTCTGAGAACAAACCTGGATTTTCTGTTTTTCACTAAAGGGAATTAACAATTTGATTTTAAGCTTATGTAGATGCTTTGTTTTATTAGACAATTTTTTGAAGTAAAATTGATTGTTTTTATTCTAAGTCTTATTAACTGCAGTTTATCTCTTGGTAGGGGACTCTATTTATGAGGGTTTTTAAGCTTTATTGTGATAACAGAATTTGAGACTATCAAAGCATTAGGATTTTCCTCTTTATTCATATGTGTAAGAAAAAAAAGTAACATTGCACGTGGAAATCCCACATCGTTAAAAAAAACATCATTTAAAGGTGCTGAGATACAAATTGATTTATTAAAATCTTATGAATACATTTTTGAGTAGAAAATGTAAAGTTTTCAAACAGATCATTCTATTCACTTGAAACAAACATAACGATATAGTTGACAGTAAAATTAGGGCAAAATAAGGTTGTTACTGGAATGGGAAATGATTTGCAGCACTAAAAAGAGAGCTAAACTGAGTATTTGTGAGCTCTGATGTTATTTATATGCCTTAATACTTTGATTTATGTGTATTTACTAAGTATCTGCTGTGTGCCAGATCTGAAGAAATAATAAGACAAGATCTATATTGCCACTGAACATAAATTCTGATGAGGAACTAAAGTGATAAATAAGCAAATAAGATTTAAAATTTTAGATGCTAAATTCAATTTTGGCATATAAATTGGGTACTGTATTCCACGTATATAGCATACTGCCAGCATGGGTTAAAGGAAGGTTGACTCTCTCCAACCCTTTCCTCCCTGTAGATGGTAGTAAATAAATGAGTTAGGGAAAACATGACTAGATTGCAAGGTGAGCTGTTAACTGTGATGAATAGTTTAAAGTATAAAGAACAGAGATTATTGAGCATATAAAAGAAAGTTTAGACAGTGACTGAAGTGATTTTAATTCATATGGGGGACAGTGATTACCAGTTCTCTTCCTCCACTGATGGGGGAATTGAGAAATTTTAAAAAACTTTTTAATTATGAAAAATTCAAACATTTATAAAATAGACAAAATAGTGTGATCAACTCCCATCTGCCCGTCACTCAATTTCAACAGTGTTCTATTTTCTTATTTCAGTACCTCTACCAACTCTCCACCCCCTACTAGATTTTTAAAAGTTTTTAAAATAAAATTTACATATAGTATGCAAAACTGCTTAATTTGAAGAAATGTTTGTATCCGTGTAACAGCGGTCCTCAGGAACTTTGGGAAACATTGCCATCACCCCAGAAAGGTTCCTAGCAACCCTTTCCAGTTAATCCCGGTGCTCCTCACTGATGTTCCCCAGGCAGGTGCTGTTCTCGCACGCTCTCTCTTTCTCTCTCTCTCTCTCTCTCTTTTTTTTTTTTTTTTTTCAACAGCAGATTACTTTCGGCTTGGATCTTGAATTTCATATATATGGCATCATACAGTAGATACTCTTTGTGCCTGCAAGAATCACTGTTTCTTTTTATTACTGAGTTGTACACTCTTGTATGAATATACTGCAGTTTCACTTGGCAGACATACTAGCTATGAATAAAGCAGAACATTCTTGTATGAGACCTTTGGAGACGTATGTTTTTATTTCTCTTAGATAAATACCTGGGAGTGAAATTACTAGGTCACAGGATAGGTAAATGTTTAACTTTATAAGGAACTGCTAAAGTTTTTTGTACCATATTATTCACCTGGCAGCAGTACATATATGAGAGTTTGGGTGGCTCTGCATTCTCACCAATTGCTTGTTTTCAGTCTTAAAAATTCTAGTTCTAGTGGGTATGTAGTTTGTAGAATTATTTGTATTTCTCATTCTGGTTTTCATTTGCATTTCTCTGATGAATATTAACATGACCACTTTTCATGTGCTTATTAGCCATTTGTTTGTCTTTCTTTGTGGAATGTCTATTCAGTTTTTTGTCCGTGTTTTAAACTGGTTTGGGTTTTTATTAATTTATAGGAGTCTTTTAGTTCTTTTGTGTACTCTGCTTTTAAGTCTTTTCTCAGATAGTTTTCTAAATCGTGAAGATACTCTTTATGTTTTCTTCTAAAGCCTTTTTATCATTTTAGCTTTTAAGTCTGGGATCCATCTTGAACTAATATTAGTATATGGTTTGAAGTGAGAAATCATGGTTCATTGTTTACATATGGATATCTTTCTAGAACCCTCTGTTGAAAACACTTTTCTCCATTAAATTTGTCAAGACGGTTGACATAGGGAGTTACCTTCTGGAATCTATTTGATATTCATTAATCTATTTGATAGTACTGTGTCAGTACCACATTGTCTTGACTACTGTAGTTTAGGGTTTCCCAACCTTGGCATTGAAATTTTGAGCCAGATTGTTATGGGGCTGCCTCATGTAGTATATTTAGTAGTATCCCTGGACTCTTTAACTATTAGATGCCAATAGCACTTTCCCAATGATGACAACCAAAAATGTATCTAGACATTGCCACATGTTCTCTGAGAGGCAAAATTGTCTTCAGTTGAGAACTACTGTATAGCTTTAAAGTAAGTCCCGAAGTTAATGTAAATTTTCAGCTTTTGTTGTTTTCCCAAGATTGTTTTGTCTGTTCTAGGTACTTTATGTTTCTATTATGGACTTTAGAGTGAGCTTCTCAATTTCTTTAGAAAGGATTATAATTATGCTGGAACTGATTTGGTTTGTGTTCAATTTATAGAATACTTTGGGGGAGAAGTGACATTTGGACAGTCTTGAAGCTTCCAATCGTAAAAATGGCTCATTCCTCCATTTATTTAAGTCTTTAATTTTTATTGGCAGTGCTTTAAAATTTTTGGTGGAGGTCTTAACTTGTCTTTTGTTAAATTTATTACTAAGTATTTTATGTTATATGCAACTGTAAGTGGAATTATTTTTTAGTTTCATTTTTCATTAGCATATAGACATACAGTAAAATTTTATATGTTGACTTTAAAACATTCTTTTTGAGTATAGTTGACATACAATGTTACGTTGGTTTTAGGCGTACAACATAGCGATTTGATGAGTTTATACATTATACTATGCTCACATGTATCATCTGCCACCATACAGCATATTACAGTTTCATTGATTATATTCTTTATGTGGTTTCTTTTATTCCGATGTCTTATTCATTCCATCCCTAGAAACCTGTGTCTCCCACTCCTCTTCACCCATTTTCCCCATTTCCCCCCACTGACCTCCCCTCTGGTAACCATCAGTTTGGTCTCTGTATTTATAGGTTTTATGTTGACTTTGTATCATGAGACCTAGCTAAAGTAAAGGTCCATAATCTTAGTGTTAATTCTTTTGCATTTGCTACATTTGTAACCATGTTGCCTGTAAATATGTGTCCACATTTTACTTCTTTTTCAATTTTTGTCGTTTTTATTTCTTACTGTTTCTGCACTAACCAGGAATTTTTTTTTTTTTAAATACTAAAACAGCTAGTGACCCCTCTCAGTTATGCACAGTGTCATCAGGGTAGTCTTTTTTTGTTTGTTTTTTAAACAAACTCTGTGCCCAACATGGGGCTTGAATTCACGACCCTGAGATCAAGAGGTGCACACTTCTACTGACTGAGCCAGTCAGGTACCCCTAACCAGGACTTTTAGTAAGATGTTGAGAACTGTTGAAAGCAGACGTTCTTGCCTTTTTCTCATTGTAAGGGAAAAAATGCTCAGTGCTTCAACATTAAAAACATCTTAAGAAAAAAAAAAAACTTAAGTTCTTCATAGGTGTCCTTTATAAGTTTGAGGAAATTTTTCTCTTAGTTTGCCAAAAGCTTTATTTTTTTTAAAATCATGAATGAGTGTTTAATTTTTTTTTAATTTTTATTTATTTATGATAGTCACACACACACACACACACACACACACACACAGAGAGAGAGAGAGAGGCAGAGACATAGGCAGAGGGAGAAGCAGGCTCCATGCACCGGGAGCCCGATGTGGGACTCCATCCCAGGTCTCCAGGATCACGCCCTGGGCCAAAGGCAGGCGCCAAACCGCTGCGCCACCCAGGGATCCCCGAGTGTTTAATTTTTTGAAATTTTACTCTGTAGCTATTGAAATAATCATGTGGCTATTTTGTTTTCTAAATGTGGTAAATCATGTTGATTTATTTTTATTTATTTATTTATTTGTTTGTTTGTTTATTTATTTATTTATTTTTGTGGTGAAATACATACAAGATTTACCGTTAGGTGTAAAACTCAGTGGCATTAAAGTACTTTGACATTGTTGAAGTTTTCGTCAACCCAAACTGAAAACTTCATTCTCCTTAAGCAGTAACTTCCTCTCGCCTACTCTAAGCCCCTGGTAACCGCTATTCTGTCTGTTGCTGTGAATTTGAGTAGCCTAAGTA